CTATATATATATATATATATATATATATATATATATATATATATATATATATATAAACTTTTTCTACTGATAAGTTACATTAGAAAGTCAAATCACGTTAAATTAATTGTATGCATGTATTAAATTGATTAATTACGATTAATTATATATCGTACGTGTGTGAATTAATTAATTAATTATATACATATGTGTTAAACTAACTATATGTATGTGAATTTTTCTCATCGATAACTTATATTGCAAAGTGAAATCACGTTTTTATAAATGTTTTCATAATTTATTGATATAAAACTTTGTTTGAGTGATGGTTTATTGAATGAAGTAAGAAAAAAATAAACCAAATGTTACGAAATAATATGCAAAAAAAAAAATTTTTTTTGGATATAATTTTGAAAAAAATTCCTCCAATAAAAGCTTAAATTTCTTCTATTTTTTTATTGTAACAAAAAAAAATCAAACAAATAATACAAAATTTTTCAAATAATTTTTTAAAATATTTTCAGATAATTTAAATTTTTGCAAGACAAAAAACAAAAAAAAAACTATTGAACTTACTTAATTGGACATTGCTGATTTCGGACATTTGCAAAACAACTTTTATATTCTTTAATCGATGGCATCAATAATTGACAAGCATATAATTCGATACTATTCCAGAATTCAATCGATTTTGGCAATTTACATCCGCTAATATTCAACGTTTCCGTGCATGTCCGAAATTCTAACAACAATTCACATCCTTGGTCGATTATCCGCCATCTGTAAATAGCATAACTTCGTAAAAAGAAATTAATTTTTATTTTTCAAATTTTTTATTTCCAACAAATTTCTGTTTTATTTCCTTTTTTAAAATTTTCCTTATATTTCAAATTTTTGATATTTTACATTTTATTATTGTTAAAATTTAAAAAAAAAGATGCCATCGTTATCATTAAAAGTTGATTAATATTAATTAATTTACAAATTAATTTATATCGATCATATTGTTAATTGCATAATTTTTTTTTCTTTTTGCAAACTGTATTTGCAGATTCAAATTACTAATGTTTAATTAGCAGACATTTTAATTTAGAATAGCATTGATGCATTTATGTCCTTTTTCAGTTATTTGTTAATTTACCTTATGGTATATCCAATAGATTTTAATTTACAATGAAATCTAGTTTTATTTAGTGATTCTTACAAGGATGTATGATTAACAAACAATCATTGTTGCCAAAACTTGTATTGCAACCATTATCATCAGAATTATCATCTTGTATTGTGATTATATCTCACATTGCTCATTTAAATTTGATCACAAAATAAACATCAAATTTGTCATTTATCAAAATAAATGTACTGATTTTAATTCTTTTTCTTCTTTTTTTTTTAAAAAAATTGTTTACAAACGTGTTAATTTGACTTCACCTAATTTACGAATTAATTAGCAAACAAAGTATTGAATGAAAAATAAATGCTAGAAATAAAATTGAAAGAATGAAAAATGTATTGAAAATAAGTTGATAGAAGAGGAATGAATACTTAAAATTTATGGAGGGGAAAAATTGCAAGCAAAAAAAGATATTGTCACGTATAATACTTGAAAAAAAAAGAAAAAAGAGTTGGATGAAAATTTTCACGTATCATTTTCTCGCATTTTTTTTTCTTTCTAATAATATATCATTTTTGTATCAACGTGAAACTGAAATCATTTTAACGTAAGTTAGTTGTTACATTTCATTTCCTTACAACATTCTCATTGCATATAATTATCAAATAACGAGTTCTAATTCTAATATTTTCTACTTTTTTTAAGAATTTTTTTTTTGGAAATTTTTGAAACTTAAACTTAAAAGTTTTAGAAATTTTGGGATTTGAGCTTACTACAATTCTCATGATAACTTTATGGAATTTGAACTTACCACAGTTCTCATGATAACTCTACCCACTATCACTTATCCTGGCAATTCTCATGATAACTCTACCTACTATCACTTATCCTGACAATTCTCATGATAACTCTATTCACTATTACTTATCCTGACAACTTAGTTTGATTATTTATCATAATTACGCCGCTTTCTTTTACTTGTATTTCATGATAAATATTGCCTTTCTTACTATAATTTTTCTTCCTCACTTATTTTTTTCTCTTTTGTCTTAATCTTTTTTACATTTCTACTCCATAGACAAACCAAAACAGTAGAAAGGCAATTAATTAATTAACTATACAGAGAACAAAACAATGAAGTTTATTTTAACCATATCAAAACTTATCACTGTTTCATTATATCTTTCAATCTCTTGCACTGTTAAAATTGAATGGACCCAAAATGATTTCATTTTTTATATGAAAAAAAAAGGAAAAGTATATCCGCAGTAAACATTAATTTTATCATTTTTGTTTGAAAATATTAAATCGAATAATGCAATTATTATGTTAAAAAATAACAGATTTTAAGTGAAATAATCAAATTTTAGGGAGCAAAAAGAATTTATATTGTATAATTTTGAAAATTTATTGATCAAATTGAAATAACAAACAAATTTTACGGGAATGTTTTTTTTTTGTTTTTTGGAAAATATTTTGCATGCAATTCTATTAACTATTAAAATTAGCTTACAGTTTCGATGATTCAATTTTTCTTCCATCTTTATCATTCACTCTCTAATATTAGCTAATTTAGAATTTTACCAAAAATTAATTTTACCATTATAAATGGATTATTACGTAAATAATTTAACACACTTAACAAAGTGCATCTAAAATTGAAATGAAATTAAAGCACTTTAATTCATTACACTATTCAAAATACATCAAAAAATGGGTAAATGACACTTCAAGCAAATTTAGGACAACAAAGACAATTTCGATTTTTTTTCAAATCAAAATTATCCTAATTTAAAATTTTTGACAACATTTTTATGCAACGGTAAACATGTTTTTATTTATCAACAAACCAAAATTTAGCTAAAATTTCAAAAAAAAAAAAAAAATGCAAGATAATTTTTGTTGAAAATTTTGCTATTTCAACGCTATCAAATTTGAAATTTCGAGAAGTTTTTGAGTGATATTAAATTTAAATGTCATTTTATTTAGCCAATTAGTTTCTTTTTTCACTCACAATGTTATCTTCATTAAAACACTTTGCTTTAATTTTTCATCGTTGACCTCCAGTTTTATCAAATGTAATTTTGTTAGAAAAATGACATTGAACTTAGCAGCTTTGAAATTTCATCTACAAAAAAAAAAAGGTAAAGAAAAGAAAGGAAAAGAAAGAAAGGAATTGACTTGGTGTAGTGTACAATCAAGGTCATTTCCTTTTTTTTTAACTACAAATTAAATATTTTAGTTGAAATAGTTTGAAATGTCGATTGAAATTTGTTGTGAAAATTTTTAGATTGAATTCTTCCTAACTTTTTTTCGTCTAATTTCAAACAAAATATTTCTTAACTTTTTTTTTAAATTTCAATTCAAAAAGAAAGAAAATGAATGAGTGGATTGAATGATTTGTTTTGCATTAGAATTATAATGCTTCCTTACGTATGGATGACATAAATTACGAAAAATACCTTTAAATAAAAACTCTGAAGAAAGAAGAAAAGAAATTTCTTGAAAAAGAAATTGAAAAGAGAAAAAAATTTTTTTGATAAAAAGAAATTTCTTGAAAAAGAAATTGAGAAAGAAGAAAAGGAATTCCTTGGAAAAGAAATTGAAAAAAAAAGGAAGGAAATTTCTAAAAAAAAAGAAATAAAGAATCAAAGAAATTATAAAGAATCTAAAAATCCAACTGTAACTAATTTTTTTTTTTTAATATCATTATTTTGCCTCAATTCCTTTCCTTTAAATCTAAAATAATTTAACATTAAAACAAAGTAGTTCATATTGCCGTACTTTTTGCCATATTCTATACAAATTCATTTATTTATCGATAATATTTTTGATAATTCTTTCGTAAAAAATGATAAAAAAAAAAAGGAAAGAATTGAAAAGGCAAAAGTAAATATTCTTAGATGACAAAATGATAAAAAGATTTCGACAAAAAAATTGATAAAAATACGGGGATTAAAAAGTATATTTTAGTAAAAAAACAAAAAATAAATAAAAATAAAACGAAATTTTTCCATATAGTGCGACAATTCTTTTGTATTTATTGATATTTTATCCTTTTTTCTTTTTTTTTTTTAGATTGATATACACTAAAAAGGTTGAAACTTTTTGCAAGCGAAATATTTCTTTCAAAAACTTCGTAAAATCAGTTTACTGAAACTTGCAGTAATTAATTCCTAATCAAATCGATTTTCATCTGATACAATTGTTGTAACATTATAATATTTAATTTTTTTGATTAACAATATTTACTTTACCTTATTTTATTTATTTAAAACTCATCGTATCACAAAAGGAAAAAATATATTATTGCAGTATTTCGATACAAGGATTATTATTTTGAAATAAAATTTTGAAATCATTCATTCTCACCCAAAAAAAAAGAAAAAAAGGATTGTTTTTTTTCTATTGTATTAAATTTGGACATATAATTAGAACTTATAAAATTGAGGAAAAATTGATGAATAACGTATAATTATATTTAGAATGTAAAAAATTAATCATTCCAAGATAAAGTTTTAAATGGGAAAAAACTTATTTGATTAGTTAATAAAGATAAGATCTCTTTTTTTTTTTACCTTGTTTCGTCATTTAATATGGATGAATTTGTCAAATTAACTTGTTCTAAATTCTTGATCCAATCGGTAAGATCTGTGGAGCATTGATTTACTCGTATTTGTATAATATTGGAGCAACCGTATGTATGATTTATTGAAGGATAACTTTTTGTTCCATCAGATCGTAGTAATGGTGAAATGGAAATAGGTAATTGATCAATGGATGGAAATGTTACAATATGATCAAATGGATCATCAAGAGTTTCCTCAGTGGTAGTCGGATATTCGATATTTTCACTAGATTCAATTGGTTGAAACAATGCTGTAGTAGATCGGATCTTCTCATCTGATAAATCATGACAATCTGTTTCACCATCATTGATCCAGTCCTGAGGAATACAGGAACCATCACCACATCGGAATGTATTCGACGGGCAATGATATTGTCGTATGATAGAGCTTCGATTTTTGACTAATATTTTAGAGGAAACTTGTGCAGCGGTATCCAAATTATGGCCAATAATACTAGGTATTTGAGCACCTACACCGGAATTTAATTGGATATCTGAAATAGTTGGATGTTGGGTAACAGAACCCAAACATAGTGATGGCAAAATTAGGAATACAGTTAAAAATATCCTTCTTTCCAGAAATTTTATTATTATTAATGATGGCAATAAAGCTGACGAAAGCGACAACGACAATGATGACAGGATCATAATAATAATTTTATAGAACAGTGCTGCTACTATTGTCGATCGCCACTATCAGACATCACATCGGCATTTGATCTACCGCAAACATACGCAAACCTGTGACATACACCAAAAATTCGGCAATTGTCATCTCTACCTATCGATGGGTTGGTCTTTTGGTTGATGACAAAATCACCGCGATGGCCGCAAGGGGGAAAAACCTTCAACGGTGTTATTACTTTCTGAGCAAATGGGGCCATCATTCCCCGCCCATCAACCAATCGACTGATCGGTGAGTGACCCGGCAATTCCCTCTTCCATTTTTAACGATTTAGATAACAGAGCCTAAAGGATAAAAATATATCCTCCTCCTCCCCCTCTTCCTCCTCCTCCACTTCCTCTTGCAATAGCAAATACTACTGCTACTACTACTAATGATCGGATAATAATGGCTCCTATTATTGCAGTTGATGATGATGATGATAATGATGATGATGATAGATGATGATGGGTGGATGATGATGATGATGATGATGATAATGATGATGATGATGATGATGATGATAATGATGATGATGATAA